TTTTTTTTTTTTTTTTTTTTTTTTTGTAGTTGTCTCATATTTTTTAGATAATTTATGCTATTTGTAAATGCTACTGCTGTTTATGTTATCTTTTGATTTACGGTTTTATCCGTACTAAAGCTTTATCCATACTACAACATAAAATTAATGATAGAAACTATTAATGGAAAACACATTAACAAAGAATAAAACATACTTACAGGTTGTGGCCCATAAACAATAGCTTCTGCTTTTAAAGTTTGAACTGTTCCTTCTTTGAGGACAAATTTACGAATTCTGTGTAAAGACAATTTCTCTCTTTACATTGAACTTTGAGCGTCGCAACTTTGCAGATGTTGTTTATGCTCAAAGCCATATTATACACTAACTAAAATTTAAAAAGGTGAAATTGTAATCTAAGACCCTTTTAAGATTCATAAGTCATTCAAGCTGGAAAACAAATTAAGGGCTAACGTAATTCACCTTTCATGTTGAATATGACATTCCAGTTGAAAAAGTGTTTCGAAGTGAAAGGCTGTCCATCTTCAGATGAGACTGACACTTTGTAGCATAGGTGCTAATCTTCCAATGTGTGACTTGGAAGCTGGAATTTGTGTATTCAATTTTCATAGCCCGTTTCTGTAATTGAACATTTTGAGTTGGATTTCCCTATAGGGTCTGGTAATACGTGTTTGAGTCAACAGCTCCAGTGGTGCAATCGGTTAGTGTGCGGTTCTTATAAGACAATACAAAGCAGAGTGATGCTGAGGTTGTGAGTTTGACCCTCACCTGGAGCATGGTTTTAGGATCTATGAAACATGCTAGTACAGGGGTGCCCAAACTTGGTCCTGGAGGGCCGGTGTCCTGAAGAGTTTAGCTCCAACCCCAATTAGACACACCTGAACCAGCTAATCAAGCTCTTACTAGTCATACTAGAAACTTCCAGGCAGGTGTGTTGACGCAAGTTGGAGCTAAACTCTGCAGGACACCGGCCCTCCAGGACCGAGTTTGGGCACCCCTGTGCTAGTAGAAATGAGATCAAAGACTAGGTCTACTTGAAACTGCCAGGCAGGGGTGTTGACGCAAGTTGGAGCTAAACTCTGCAGGACACCGGCCCTCCAGGACCGAGTTTGGGCACCCCTGTGCTAGTAGAAATGAGATCAAAGACTAACATAAAAAACTTAACGCTGAGTTCACACTGCACGATTTCCAAAGTTGTCGGATCACCGTTGTTTTCACACTGCACGACTATCTGGCGTAGCATTCAGTTGCTGCTGTTTTCACATTGCACGATGGATCGGCGACAGAAGGTTACACACTGCATGACTTTACAATAGGAAGAATCATGACAACTCTGTCTGGTCCGCAAACTACGTTTCATAGAACTCCTCCCCAAACTTCCCGCTACCTGGTATCTTGCTCTCTCATTGGCTGTAGGTCTTCGCCGATGTCTTTTTCAGTCACAACTCATATCATTGTTATCATTTGTCAGATGGCATGTCAATCAAACTCCCTGAAGGGTCAATTGACAGTCAGCGTGTGGTATGTTAATGTGGTGTGTATGTTAATGCCCCTATAAATGAAACCTGGAGATTCGGCTTTATATTTGTAATTTTTCTCGTGTTGTTCTTTGACACCAGCTCCAGTGGTGCAGTTGGTCAATGTGCAGTATTAAAAGGCAGGACAATGGTGAGGTTGTGAGCTTGAGCTTCACTTGGGGCACAGTTTTAAGATGAAAGAGACATTCTAGTAAGTAAAGAGTTCAGGATCTAATCTGATTGGTTGACCCTCTTCAATTGAGGTAGAAAATCTGTAGTGTTCTTTGAGAGAGACTTTTTGCCAAATTTGATAACTGGGACAAACTATGACATGGAAAGTGTTTGAAATTTAAAGCTTGTAAAGCTGGTTCCTTTTCAGTTCTCCTCAGTGGCAGCAGCTAAGCCGCAGAGAACGTGAGAAGATGGGCCTTGTTGTCCGAGATGTTGGAGAGTTTTGGTAATGTACATTTTCAGTGACATGAATGTGTAATTGGCAAAAAATGGAGTATATGGACATAATTCTTTTGAGAAATATGTTTTAACCCAGTATTGTAAATTTATAATTTTCCTTAGGATGGAGTTTGAGGACTTCTGCCGTTACTTCACAGACATGGTGGTTTGCAGGTTGGCGGAAAAATCCCTCCTCTGGCCACAGACCCACTGGAGGGAGGTGTGCTGCCAGGGTGCTTGGACTTATGCATCTGGGATCCAACCTCCTCCCTCATCTTCTTGTCATCTAAACATCAAGAACCAGAGGCCTTCAACCGGGCTCCAATGGTCCAAACAAAGGCCAGCTCAAAGACGAGACAAAAAGGAACAAAGACTGAGTGAAAGGCAGAAGGAGGGACAAATCCAAGGACAAAAACAGAAAAAGAAAGAAGAAGTAAAACCAAAGCAAATTAAGGGGAGAAGGGAGCATGTGAAAAAACAGGCAGAAGGCACGGAGATGAGATGGGAGAGGCAAATTGACAGAAGAAGTCGATGTGGAGGATGTATCAATCACAGAGACACATTTCTATACAACCCACAGGTACATCACTCTGGGAATTTCCAAACTAAAAATGATATTGAAGCATAAATTATATGGTTAAGGTTAGTTCAAAATCCTTATTTTATCTCTAGCTCTCTTAATCATATGTTCCCTAATTTTACATTCAGATGTTTGTCCTTCATTTCTTAGTTCCTTTTTGAACTGACTGGAGATGGGGCAGAGGTGTTGATATGTTTGCAACAGGAGGACAAGAGGATGAAAAGGAGGGAGGGAAGTGGGGAGAACTTACCAATCGGCTTTGAGGTTCTAAGGGTAAGTGACTGACTACATTTTTAGACATTGTCAGATTTTGACTGAGGCTGTTTAATTTATGTGGGCTGTGGGGGTGGTTTATTTATTTTTTATTTCAAGTTCTATGCAATCTATGCAATATCACACAAGCAACAGCGGTGTTGCTCCAAATATCAGGTGATATTTATGACTGTGAATATGATATTGTTTTCATACATAAGTTGAATAAACAAAACTTAATATTGAGTAATTTATATTTAAATATTTGGTGATCCCGAGTCTGAATGAGTGTTTTGGAATTAATTGCTTGAGTGAATAGTCACTTGTCGTCAATGTGTCAGACTTGACCGTCTGTAGCATGGAAACATAAACGGAGTGATACAAACAGTAAAAAAAATCACAGTGCTGTTGGACTGTATCAGCATTCTTGGTTAACCCAATCAGATTTGATCAATGTACCTAACTGTTATATAATTTAAACTAAATCAGATAAAAGAAGTATACTAATAGCACACTTGAATAAACTTCTTTTTCGTAAGGGAAATCATTAGACTCTAGCCTACATTTGCATTTATTTGGTCCTCATCTATGTTTCTTCTTTCTATCCCTCTATTTATCCTTCCTTCAGGTGGAGGTGAATCGTGTTTGTCGTGTACAGTGTTTATATGAGCAGGCTGCTAGCTCTGTGTATATGGACTCCCGTAGCGTTACTCTGCGAGTGACTCTTGGCCCTGGACGCTACATCATCCTCCCCACTACTTTCCTGCCTGGTGCAACTGGTCGGTTCCTTCTGCGTTTTTTCTCACACTCACATGTACGCCTCAGGTAGGCACAGAAGATTAGGCTACTCTGCTCTGTTTTGTATTCAAATAAGCAACCAATTGAACAGTAAACAAAATGTAGATCTAGTTGTAGATACTTATAGTTGAATGCAGTCATTTTTAATGTTGAATGTTTACTAAGGTGACTGATTTAAATGATTAGGAAGTGTCTTCAAAATTCATCTTTTTGTTTTTGTTTTTTGTCGTCTTCACTTTATCCACTGTCTTCAGGGAGTTGAAGGAAGAGCTGCCTGCTCCTTCATTGTGGCAGTGTTGTTTTCCTGAGCCCAGTGCTGTAACGACAGTCCATCTGCTCAAAGCCTCTGGCCTTAGCCATCCCAAACAAACAGGTTAAAACTCACCACTAAACTTTATTGTAATACTTAAGTGACCAGCAAGCATGACTATGATCTTTGTAACCTTTACATGTTCAGGGTGAAAGAAAGGTGTTAGCAGTTCAGATTTTCAACGTTTTGGGTATAAAATCATAGGAGTAGCTCCATAAAGTACAACAAAGCACATGTAGGCTATATCATTTGTAAGTACGACTGTGCCTAATATTCAAAATTTCATTAAAGGGATAGTCACCCCAAAATATAAATGCTGTCATTTACTCATCCTAAAGTTGTTCCAAACCCATATGGGTGAGCACAAAGAAGATATTTTGAAGAAAGTTGGTAGCCAAACAGCTGACGGTAGCCATTGACTTTCATAGTATAGAAAAAAATACTATGGAATTCAATGGCTATACTATCAAATGTTTGCTCACTCACTTTCTTCAAAATACTTTCTTTTGTGCTCAACAGAAAAATAAATTTATACAGGTTTGGAACAACTTGAGGGCGAGTAAATGATGACAGCATTTTCATTTTATGGTGAAGTATCCCTTTAAGTGACAGCTTTGGATCAGTCACAAACTGGATCAGTCCTGCTTTGACTGTTAGCAGACAAGTATTTTATTTGTTTCAGCTGATTATGCCTTTAATTTTCATCTTTCCTTCTGTATGTGTATATATATATATATATATATATATCAGCTCCTGATGTATATGCTGTCATCCGTTGCGAGGAAGACTCTGTAAGGACTACAATTTTTAAAAAAGATGGAAGTCCTGAATTCAACACCAAGGCCATCTTTTATAGCAGGAACCCAAAGTCCAAAATATCCATCGAGGTTAGAAGCTACTGCACTGTATTTTGTGAAGGCTGACTTTTGGCACGGTTTCTTCTTATAAATGAATGAATGAAATCAGTTTTGCCGATGTTTGTGTTATTCTGTGTATTTGTTTGTGCGCAGCTGTGGAAAAGAGGTTTGCTGTTGGACACATTCCTGGGTGGAGCACAAATTCAGACAGGAGGACATGAGCGCTGTCAAAACAGAGTGATTGACTTGCAAGGTGGCCAATCGCGAGGCTGTGTTTTTATAGAGACTTCCTCCAGCCAGTGCCTGACAGAGCTGTGACCTAGTCAAGGTAATGACTGATGATATATCATCAATGGACTGAACATCAGAAACAACTACATTTCTGCCATGCTTCAGCATAGAATGGCAATCTTCTGGAGCAACCTGGGGTTATGTGCTTTGCTCAAGGGCACAATGGTGCTGGATGAAATTCATTGCATCTGCTGGACAGATAATGAAAAATACGAAGGATTATTTTACTAGGAATATTGCTAATGATGTAGAAAGGTTATGCAATAACTGAGAGAATGTTTTGTTCCAAATGCTGGACAAATATGATTACGTATAAATTAAATCTGCTATTCATTTTGATGCTTTGACTCAGTGTTAATGGTTGGTACTGATATCTCAGGAAGTCTTTAAAGGCTATGCTAAAATTTTAACTTAAATTCTACAAAACATATCTATCTAAAATTAACCCGTAAACTGCCAAAAAATGTGCACAGCAAAAAATCATATGATTTTTATAATCTATATTTCATTAATTTAAATAGAAATGATTTACGTAAAGAATGAAAAGAGAGTGAAAATTATTTCAAAGCACCTGTCAGATCTAACCTGAGATTTGTTCCACTGTGTCCCCTTACCAAAAAGTAGTATACTTCAAGTTTATTTTATTAAGGGAAAAAAAAGTTCGGCAAAAGACGGGATCGAACCTGGGTCGATCACGTCACAAAGCCAACGACATACGTGCTTATCCATCTGCGCCACTGGAGCTAAATAAACTTGGTACATAAAGCCCATGTCTGAGAAGTACATAAAAATTAGACTGAAAGTATACTTTCCTATTTTTAGTTTAAAAGAAGTATACTAATAGCACACTTGAATAAACTTCTTTTTCGTAAGGGTCTTCCTGTTTTTTCCCTTCTGATTTTCATCTCAGGGACAATAACTCCAGCCTACTGAATTCACTGCAGCATAATGCATTTTTGTGATGCTCTTTGCACACAGCAAGAACTGGTTTATCTTGAAATGTTACCGTTTTGAAACCTTCTGAAACCAAGTGCGCAAAACTTTTCATGGCTGTTTCTGATCCAGGAGTGTGTCAGATAAAGACTTTCCCGAACCACACAGGTGAAAATGCATGGTTTTACTGTATATCAGTAAGTGGATTCTAATACACTGATTCGCATAGTCAACAGAATGCAAAACTCTGCATTTCAGTACTGTGACCTTTAATAAATGCACAAAGAATGCTTCTTTTGGAAACCGGTCATACATTTCCCTGAGTAATATTGTTTGCTTTGCGTAGGCATCATGGATCTAAAGCAAACATAGAATTACATGTGAGATCTTCTCCAGTATCTAAAGCATCTTGCTCTAGCATGTTTTGTACAAGCCAGGGATTTTAACACTTTAACTTTGCACTTAGTGAACATAACAGGCATATTTGCTCAAAAGTAACCTTTTGGCTGTTTCTGTTTCAGGGATGGTTATTCGCATTGCTCAAATTACAATAGGTGTGTTGCAGTGAATCTGAAAGTGGCAATAGCTATTCTTCTGCTTTTATCTTCCATTATTTAAACTGCTCTTATGTTGCCTGCAATCACAGGTGCAGTATATCTGCAAGACTGTCCCCAGCAGCACTATATTCCAATGTACGTGCTGGTCTGTGGAGTGTTTAGTGTATTTCTAGCCTTGCTGTCGTGTCTGCCCTGTGCCAGGGAGACGGAGAAGGGAAGTCATACTGCACTTAGCCGTATCCGCGCTGTGTCGAATGCTCTGGTTTCTGCCTTCTTGTTCTGCTGAATGATTAGTGGTAAGATACAGGGAGGAAGATGTCATTTAGTGTGTTACAGGTCTCCGACAGCTTCTGTGCATTGTTCTGTTAATCCATTACCATGCTACTTGCCAAGAAAACAGCAGATTTTCATTGTAATTGCTGTGACATTTTAGACATGACATTCAATGGATATGGTTTTGAATGAGATTTTTCTTATTTTGAATTCTAGACACATGAGAATATTTTTTATTGCGTGTGGTATATTTTATAGTTTATCATAATGAATTTAAATAGAGATTTTCTAATATTTCTATTTAATTTATTTAATATTTGTTTTTGTATCTGTACTTGTATTTGTGAATTTAAAAAAAAATCACTAAAAAGCAACCTTGCTGATCACCAGTAAAGCATTATTACTGTATGCTTGTTTCGTCTCATTCTGTAGGCCATCTTCATGGATCTTAATAATAGGGTTCTTGATGGTTTTGTGTGATAAACTCAAACTGAAAAAAGTGCCTCTGTGTTTTTTTTAAACATTCTTTAAAATATCTTCTTAACAGTTTTGCAAGTAAATTTGTTATTACATGGATTTTTGATGATGTTATTGCGAAATGCTAATTATGAAAATGACTGTACTTGTCATATCTGCTAGTCAAAAATGTGCACGGAAAAAATTTCATCATCTAGATTTTATTTCCTTGAACAAAACTAAACCTAGTTTTATCAAGAATGCAAAATGAAAAGCACTAATGAAAATAAGCACCTGTCAGACCTTGACAGAGATTTTTTCCACTGTGTCTTCCAACAGAAGTTCATGAATGTAAATATAGGGGATTTGTTCTGAGGGATAATAACTCCAGCCTATTAAATTCATTGCAGCATAATGCATGTTTGTGATATTGTTTGTACACTGCAAGAACAGGTTTATCTTGAAATGCTATGGTCATGAGGTGAGTGATGCAGCCTTCTAAAAAAGTGAGCGCACAACCCATGAAGAATCATTTCAGGCTGTTTCTGATCCCGTAGTGTGAGAAGAACTACAGGTAAGTACAGTATGTTTGTGCAGTTTGACATATGGGAAGGCAGTTTTACTCTGATATATCTTTAAGAGTATTATTATTCACAGATTTACATAATCAGTAGAATCCAATACAGTTACAAAATCAGTTTTTAATGAAGTTACATTTCCCTGGGTTGTTGTGATGTTGTATGCTTTGCATAGGCACCATGGATCCAAAGCAAATGTGGAATCATGTGAAATCTCCTCCAATAACTAGTATAACTGACCTTGGCATGGGAGTTTTACACCATAATCATTGTTACTTTTGTACTTAATGAACATAAAGTGTATTGACTCAAGTAATTTTTTTTTGACTGATTTGTATTTCAGTTATTACAAAACTGCTATTCCTGGCTCTTCCCATTGCTCAGATTGCAATAGGTGCGTTACAGTGAATGTATGTACTGTAGTTATTCCTCTGCTTTTACATTCCATTATTTAAGTGCTCTTATGTTGCCTACCATCACAGGTGCAGTGTATCTGCAAGACTGTCCCCGGCAGCACTATATCCCAGTGTATGAGCTGGTTTGTGGAGTGTTTAATGTATTTCTGGCCTTGCTGACTTGTCTGCCCTGCGCCAGGGAGACGGAGGAGGGAGGTCAAACCACGCTCAGCCGTACCTTCAATGTGTGGAATTCTCTAGTTTCTACCTTCTTGTTCTGTTGGATGATCTGTGGTAAGATACAATGGTGTATGTGGGAGGAAGAGGTCATTTAATGTGTTCATAGGTCTCTGGCAGATTCTGTGCATTGTTTGGTTAATCCATTACAAAGTCACTTGCCAAACAAACAGCAGATTTTCATTTTGGAATGCTTAGAATTCTAAGTTGTGAATGGAAAACACTGTCAACATGTTTTTGTGTGTGGGTCTGCCTGAAATTTGGTGTGAATATGAACTGTTATTTAGTAATATAGCTAAGACAATGGCTGTTTAATATGGAACTAGAAAAACATTTCACAGATTTCATTTTGAATTTTAGAATTTGA